GGGGGGGGGGGGGGCACACTTTGTTACTTTGTTGCGGTTTCATTCCAGCCAGTTGACCGAGAGGGTGGCTTGAAGATGACAATCTCTATGACACTGTGGGTGCAGAACTCGAATTGTAAGAACTGCTAGTGAACGGGAGTGGAGGAAGGTGAGTAAAGAGGACTCTTTCCGAAGTGCGGGGTGACTGGGAGAGAGCGATGAAGCGCGGGCTTGAGCAGAGGCGCGGCGGGACGCGCGGGAGGCCAGCGTGCGCACCGGCGAGCAGAGCGCGGCTGGGGCTAGGGAAGGGCCAGGCCCAGCTGAGACGGAGGGGGGTGAACGACGGGATGGGGGTTCCGAGGGGATTCACAGAGATGGGGACAGGAGACGGGAGGCGTGGTGGCCTCCGTCTTCTCCGCTGAGGAGACGAAGGCGGGGAAGCTGTGGAGACACTCCCACTCCTTCCAGGGATGGCCCCTGTACCCAAACACCGCTCAGCCGCCGGACAAGATGACACCGTGGGCGTCCCGGAGCCTCTCGCTGCGCGCGTGAGATCAGACGTCGGGCGGGCCGGGTCCAGACCCCATGATTTTTCTTCTCGAAGGTGCTGAAGACAAGGAGTCCTCCCCGTCTCGGAGGGAACAGGCAGCTCCGTTCTGAGGCGGCCCTGGCGTAATTGCCCAGCGCTGTGTTTGTCCTCAAGGTCAGCGTGCTGGTGAGAAGCCCGCCCCGCGCCCGGGAGAGCAGTGTCCTCCCAGATAAATAATTTCTGTTGGAAGAACATTCTGTAGTCCCCGTTCTCACTACAAGTATCATCCAACGCAGCACTGGAGGATATTTTAAAAACAAAGCCTTTCTTGATCTCTGTGAGCCAAACATGCCTCAGGCTGAACTCCCTTCCAGAGAATGCGCGCCCGCGGACAGCGCGTTAGTCTTCCGACCCTTGACCTCCATCTTTTTCGGTTTTGGCTCCCACACCTGAGGAGGGGGTCGGGGCACCTCTGAGTCCCTCCCGTGTCTAACGTGCTGGGCTGAGATTCCAGGGGGTCGCAGCGATTTGTGCCTTAAACCCACAGCTTGCCGTAGCTCTCTGCCCCGGCGCGGGGTGGAGGGCCTCGGTCAGTCCCCCTCGGCTACTGACGATGTAAACGAGGTCATTCAGCAAAGGGCCCGCGGCCAGACATTGTGTCACTGTTCAAGGGTGCTGCCTGCAAGGGAACAGACCGACACCGACCTGCCTAACTGGCGGAGCCCTGGCTGAGTGTCACCCAGCCCCCCTTCTTGGCCGCGTGCTCATGTGCAGACTGCAGCCTCCCGTGAACCTTGAGAATGGGCCTCACGGGTCTGCACGCGACCCAAGGGAACAGCTCGAGGTCTCAAACTCACAGCTCCCCTGGGAGCCACAGGGCCAGTAACGGAAGCATCTAGATGGGGCCACACACACACACACCACACACACACACACACACACACATCACACACACACACCACACACACTCACACACACACACACACCACATACACACACATCACACACACACACTCACACACACTCACACACACTCACACACACACCCTCCTTAGGGAGCAGCATCACCTTGCCTCAGTCTCTGTACCTCGGGCCTGGAGAAGCAGAACCTCGGTTCCCACCTAACCCCATGTCCTCTGCCCTCCCCCAGGTCACCGCCCGGGGCTCTGTCTGACACCCCAGCTTGCGCTCCCACCTTCAGCTTCTTCTCTCTCGCTCCCTGCACTCCCCTGAAACAGGATGGCTCCAATGAGAGGGTTCTTCCCCTTCTTGCTCTGTTTCCTCATACCTGAGGCTTTCGGGACCAGGGGTTCTGTGGGTTTCTGCTTTGCCCTGCACTCTCTCTTCGGGGTGAATGCAAGTCCTTGCTCTCTCCAGCGCGCATCCCTCCCAGAACACGGGTGGATGCTGCTTGCTGCCTGTGTGTCACTCACCCTTTCTTTCCAAAACAGAATCTGATGCTGAATGGCACCGCAATACATGCCCAGCTTCTTATAAAATTAAAATTAAAATTAAATTTCCCTTGGAGCTGCGATCAGTGAGGTCACGTGGTTTTATCACAAGTGGAGGGGGCAGAAACCACTGGGTAGCACGGCGGGAGCTCTGTCCCCTCCTTGCCCTCTGTCTGACCACAGTGACAGCCTTGGCTGTGGGCACTGGGTCTTGGTAACCAGGAGGCAGTGAGTGTGAGGACCGAAGCCTCAGGCAAAGCTGGTCTAGAGGAGAGAGACGGAGCACGCCATCCAGATGCCCTGAGGTGGGAGGAAAATGGGACCCTCGTGTACTTGGCCCACGTGGGCGGGGAAGGTTTCTCCTCCTGGTCCCCCAGGACTTTGACTGCAGGGTCCATTTTCCTCAGCTCTGTGCCCTAGTTCCTGCCACCATTCACTGTGACATCAGTATCGGGTGAGGGGCCTAGTCCTGGTTTACACAGAAAGGTTTTTTCAACTCATTTCTAATTTGCTTTGTCTCTCCATCAAGAAATCACTCAGGATTCTGTCAAAACCGGAAACTGTACCCCCCCCAAAATCTCAAATCCACACNACACACACACACACACCACATACACACACATCACACACACACACTCACACACACTCACACACACTCACACACACACCCTCCTTAGGGAGCAGCATCACCTTGCCTCAGTCTCTGTACCTCGGGCCTGGAGAAGCAGAACCTCGGTTCCCACCTAACCCCATGTCCTCTGCCCTCCCCCAGGTCACCGCCCGGGGCTCTGTCTGACACCCCAGCTTGCGCTCCCACCTTCAGCTTCTTCTCTCTCGCTCCCTGCACTCCCCTGAAACAGGATGGCTCCAATGAGAGGGTTCTTCCCCTTCTTGCTCTGTTTCCTCATACCTGAGGCTTTCGGGACCAGGGGTTCTGTGGGTTTCTGCTTTGCCCTGCACTCTCTCTTCGGGGTGAATGCAAGTCCTTGCTCTCTCCAGCGCGCATCCCTC